GAGTCTTTTTCCTTACTCTGTGTCAAATCAGTAAAATCAGGCTATTTATATCAAATTGTGTTATATAAAATCATGTTGCTTAAAATTGTTAAATTTTATGAGCTGCTTTAAACATGATTCAGTGTTGAATTTGGCCAAATATCTTCTGCACCTAGTTAATTTTCTTCTTAATCTATTAATGGGATATGTTCTAACAATCAATTTCCTCATGTTGAGCCATCCTAATATTTCTGAAACAATCATACTTCATTATGGTGTATTGCTATTTAGTATCTAATAATTTATTTAGGATTTTTGTATCAGTAATCACATATGATACATGTCTATAGCTTTATTTATTGGTGAAATCTTTGTTAGCTTTTTGGATCGATATTATGCTTGCTTCATAGAAAGAACTGAACATTTTCCTTCTTTTTTATGTGATCAGGAATAGTTTCAGTAACATTGAGATAATCAGATCTTTAAAGGTTTCAGTGAGTTTCCTGTGAAACCATCTGAACCTGGAACTCTTTTGTGGGGAAAGCCTTTAGCCACTTTGCTATTTCTTCCATGGTAATGGAAGTGTTTCATTTTTCTATACGGGGATCATATAGAAAATTTTCAGGGAGGAAAAGAAAGGAAAAAGAGAGTTAGGAATAGTTTCCATTTACCTAAATTGGCCGTTTTCCCCTCTCCTTCTTTTTCTTAAGGTCTTGAGGGTACCTTAGCCCTAGAGCCTCTTTATAGAAATGGCTGCCCTCCAGAACAACTCTCTGAGGATTGTGCTGGTGGGGAAGACTGGCAGTGGAAAAAGTGCCACAGCAAATACCATCCTTGGGAGAAAAGAATTCAAATCTAAGATTTCTGCCCACGCTGTCACCAAGAGATGTCAGACAGCTTCCCGGACATGGAAGGGGAGAGAACTTCTTGTTGTTGACACCCCGGGGCTCTTTGACACCAAGGACAGCCTGGACATCACCTGCAGGGAAATCAGCCGATGTGTCCTCCAGTCCTGCCCCGGGCCTCATGCCATTATCCTGGTTCTTCAGTTGGGCCGCCACACGGATGAAGAGCAGAAAACCGTGGAGTTGATCAAGGCTGTGTTTGGGGACTCAGCCATGAAGCACATGATAATCTTGTTCACGCGCAAAGATGATCTGGAGGACCAGAGCCTAAGTGACTTTATAGCAGATGTGGATGGGAAGCTAAAGAGCCTCATTCAGGAGTGTGGAGACCGTTACTGTGCCTTCAGTAACAGCTGCAAAACAGCCCAGGCTGAGAAGGAAGCCCAGGTGCAGGAGCTGGTGGAGCTGATAGAGAAAATGGTGCAG